CCTAAACCCTAAACCCAAGAAGGCCATCCAGAAGCCACCCTACCCAAAAGACAGCAGACCCCCGGAAGCGCTCCGTCAGGGTGGACTCCTGGCTCTCCTGGGGCTCTTTCGAGGCTTACTATAGTATACTGCAATCTTATATAAACCTGTACTGTAATATACTATAATATACTATGATATACTCTAATATACTCTAGTATACTAGAATATACTATAGTATACTATACTATACTATACTATACTAGACTAGACTAGACTAGACTAGACTAGACTAGACTAGACTAGGCTAGACTATTTTACACTGTACTATGACATACTAAAAGAAACTATGAAATATTATGGTATGCTATAATACTATAGCATATTGTACTGTACTGTAGTATACTATATACTATAGGCGCTTGAGGCTTCAACTGATGTTGCGACTGTGCAGGGCGGGGGCCCGCCGCTTTCCGGTCCTGGCTTTCTGGGTTTCTCAGATTTGGGGGGCTTTCGGGTATTAGGGTTTAGGGTTTAGGCGGCTGGGGCTGTCGGGGATGTGAGGGGAGGCTTCGGCCTTAGGGGTTTCAAGGTTTCGCGAAGTAAGGTGGCATGCCTCACGGTGTGAAGGGCTATTCGGGTTTCGGGGGCCCTAGGGTGCTGGGGTCTCACGGTAGGGGGAGGTTAGGGCTGAGGGTCTGTTCTCATCTTGCGCTACAAGAGCCGGACCCTGCCTCCTGCTTTCACGGCCTCAGCCTCGCCTAAAATCGCTGACAGCGAGCTTTCTCAACGACGCAGCTTGAAGCGAGCCGAGTGTCAACGGACATCTCTATTGTTGTGCTCTGATCCCAAAATTCCAGAACTCTGCTCCGACCTTTCAACCTCCGGGGCCTGAAACCGTAGCTTAGGAGGGTTTAGGGCTTAGGACCGAGGTCTTAGGATTCGGCGTTTTTTTGGGTACCTTTTTTTGGGGGCAGCTGTCCAGGAGAGACTATTTAGGCAGGATTTGGGGCTTGAGGTTTAGGGCTTAGGATTGGGATTAAGGGTGAATAAAATTGGGTCCGGGCCCTAAACCCTAAACCCTAAACCCTAAACCGCAGCCAAGTCTCGCTCGCCCCTCCCCGGAACACGACGACCGAATCTGGAGGCCGGCCAGTCCTCAGATATCAAGTTTGCGGTTCAGGGTTTAGGGTTTAGGGTTTAGGGTTCAGGGTTCAGGGTTCAGGGTTCAGGGTTCAGGGTTATTTTTTAGGGTTCAGGGTTTAGGGTTTAGGGTTCAGGGTTTAGGGTTTAGGGTTCAGGGTTTAGGGTTTGGGGTTTAGGCAACCAAGCCCCACCACCCTAAACCCAACCGTCTAAACCCCAAACCTCACAACACACACACCCGGTGCCCGAAGGCCGCAGGCCTTGTAGGGACCTTTAGGAACCCTTATAGAAGCTGCCATGATCTTAAAGGATTCCTTTAAAAAGCCACATTACATCCTAATTCTTCCAGAACCCCGTGGCACAAATTCACGGAACCCTAAACCCTAAACCCTAAACCTGTAGAGACCCCACAAAAAGATCAAAAAGGAAATGCCCAGGCCAGGCCAGGCTTCGCCGTGACGAAGTGGCGCAGCGCCTCGCGAAGTAGAGGCCCAGGCCTGGTCCAGGAAGCTTTGAATGCAGGGCTTTAAAAAAAAGGGGGTTCGGGCTTAGGGCGGCTTAAAAGGGCGTTAGGGTTTAGGGCTCTGAGGGTTTAAGGCTTAGGGTTTAATCGGGGTTTAGGGTTTAGGGCTTGGGGTTCATGTTGCAACTACGGAGAAGAAGGGATGCTTCGTATCAGGTGGCAGCGCAAGCACTTCTTCAAGGCCCGGAAGCATTGAGACACGAGCTGCTCTGCCTCACGTGGGCTCCCTACCGCCTATTTCTGCGAACCTCAAGGCCGTCAACCAGTAAGCCACCAAAAACCCCCAGGCCCTCAACCCCAAAACCGCTCCGCAACAGCCACTGAAGCTGAAGACCCCGCCCGGAACTTGTCACCCTAAACCCTAAACCCTAAACCCTAAACCCTAAACCCTAAACCCTAAACCCTAAACCCTTTTCTGGGTCCCGGGAGTTCTATTGCTTATGGCTTGCGGCTATCATAGTGGTGCGCTTGGCTTTCCGCTGCCTATTTGGGATTTTCCGAACATTAGGGATACCTTATTTGGGGGTCTTTATAATCAGGACCCTACTATTTAGGGTGCTATACTGGGGTCCCCTATTTTCGGAAACCCTAAACCCTAAACCCTAAACCCCTAACCCCCATTTCAGTCTTCTTGCCGCCAGAGCGCAGCACGGGCTCCCCCGGCGGGACCAGGCGCCAGGTCGTAAAGTAGCTGGTAAAGTAGACCTGGCACGACATGGGTGGTTGTCAAAATTATGGTCCCTTTTTGGGTCCTTATTATAATACGGCACCTATTATTTAGGGTACCCCAAAAGGGACCATAATTTTGACAACTACCCATATACCATTTACTGTAGGGTGTATACTACATATTACGTACTCTATATATATATATATGACATATTTTCCGCTATATGCTTAGTCCATGAACTATGATTTGATTGTCCAGTATCTTTGCCCGCTCTGCGCGCAGGTCGGAGCTTGCAGGTAGGGCTTGGCTTGGCGCTCAAGTTTAAGTCCTGCCGAGGCCCCAAGCCCCAAACCCTATTTCTTGACGGAAGGTTGCTCCCTTACTAGGGTTTAGGGTTTAGGGTTTAGCGGTTTAGGGTTTAGGGTATTACAGCGCTGCAAGTAAGAACCCAACTGCAGCGGGCGTGCCGGGGCAAAGCGCTTCGGGGTCGGAACCTTCTGCAGCCAGTCTGGACGAGCCCTTCGCATCGGATAAACACATCCACGGAAGTGGGACAAACTACCTTCAACACCGAGCTGTTCCCTGAAATGCACTGCATTGATCAGAAGCCAGGCGGGCTGGCATTGGAGGAGGCGCTCAGTGCCTGAAGCATCGGTGATTCCTTCGCTGCCTGCAGATGGTGCCAGCGAACACGAGGGGCCCAGGATTTCGGGCGAAGAAGTCCGCAGTATGAACTTGCCACCTACGTCAGGAAGTGGTCACGGTGTTAAGAATGAAAGCTTGGTATTTCAGATCTAGGGTGCGTTCGAATGTCTTCCAGGAGTCTGTCACCATGACATAAGCTCGAAGAATGGTGTTGGCAGTAATCCTGCCGATCTGGAAAACGGCCCTAACGATGTCTCATTCCCTAAACCCGATACCCGAAACACAAACAGAAGTTGAAAACAGCAAGAGCATGGCGACAGTTTAGGCAGAAAGCCTGCCTGCGTCTTCCCCCCACCTCCCCGCCTGGTGATTTTCAGTCGAGGTCTCGTCCAAAACCCAAAACCCGGAATGCGGTAAAAGTATCTTCTTTACTTCTCGTCCCTCCAACTCTGCTGACTAGGTGCTAATACAGGGGCCTTAATTTTCAGAATAGGGTTTGGGGTTTTACTATACTCTAATTAGAATAAGGAACCCCCAAAAACCCAATTCTAATTATTAAGGCCCTTAAACCCTAACCCCTTATGGTAACCCTTATAGACCCCTTTTTAAAAAGAAACCTTTGAAGGAACCCCTACTCTAACTATTAAGGCCCCTACATTACTCTCACCACTAAGGCACTGAAAAATCACCCCCTGCTAGCCTTGACGGTGTCCAGGCCCACGACCATCCTTCGATGCTTAGGCTTCCGGGGGGTTAAGGGTTGAGGGTTGAGGGTTTAGGGTTTAGGGTTGAGGGTTGAGGGTTTAGGGTTTAGGGTTTAGGGTTTAGGGTTGAGGGTTTAGAATTTAGGGTTGAGGGTTGGGGGCTCAGGGTTGAGGGTTGAGGCTTTAGGGCTTAGGGCTGAGGGTTTAGGCTTTAGGGTTGAGGGTTGGGGGTTGAGGGTTTAGGGTTGAGGGTTGAGGGTTGAGGGTTGAGGGTGGTAATGATTTGGGGTTTAGGGTTAAGGGTGATAGTGGTGTAGGGTTTAGGGCTGAGGGTCACAATGGAGGGTTTGCGGGAGTCATAGGTCGTTGAAGGAAGTTTGAGACAGAATATGTTGTCCTACTTCCCCAATAAACCAGGGAAATCAAAGGTTAAACTTTCAGATTACTACTAAATTATAATAACCCAAAAAGTTTAAAGGTTGGGTATTGGGGAACTATGTTGTAGGATGCCACAGGGACGTTCAGGGGCTTTGAGGCTCAGGCTTGAACGAATCAAGTCTCAGCATTCTGCGTAGTTGTGTACCGGGCGACTGAGTAGTGAATTTCCAAGGCATGGTAGATATCTGACAAAAGCCTACACCCTAAACCCTAAACCCTAAACCCTAAACCCTAAACCCTAAGCCCTAAACCCTAAACCCTAAACCCTAAGCCCTAAACCCTGAGGCCTAAACCCTGAGGCCTAAACCCTAAACCCGCGCAAGAATCTGAAGGCGATGGGACCAAGGCGGGGCTTCCGGCGCTGCCTCAAGCCTGCGGGGACGGTGTAGAGTTTAGCGTTTAGGGTTTAGGGTTCAGGGTTTAGGGTTTAGGATTTAGGGTATGGAGCCCCTTAAGTAATGTCACTCCCTCAGTAACTTCCGACTCCTGCACCTTTAAGAAGCAACCCTCAAACTCTAAACCCTAAGCACTCAACTTCCAACCCCTCAAGGAACACGAAGATGAGGGAAGGCTTGAGCACGAACTCACATGAAATCCAAACCCCCTAGCACCCCAAATTCAAGTACAAGCCCTAATAAGCCCCAAAACCCCAAACCGAACCCGCAACCCTGCACCCTGAACCCTAAACCCTAAACCCAAAGCCCTAAAACACTACAACTCCTAATGACAGACGAGTTGCATGGACCGCCCCAGGTAGGGCAACGGTGAGATGGCCTCAGCGAACTACGGTAACTCGACTTTGAGGGTTTAGGGTTCTCAATCCCCAGTTGGGGTTGAGGCTTGAGGGTTTAGGGTTTAGGGTGTAGGGTTTAGGGTTTAGGGTTTAGGGTTTAGGGTTTAGGGTTTAGGGTTTAGGGGCGCATGAGGTTGATTTTTCAATGCTATGGGGTTCGAAACCTCCTATGTACTATTGAGATCACAATTCCGAAGGGGGGAGTCTTAATCAGATTCCTACATTAGGGGGCATCTGAGCAGGCCTCCTCTCTCCCCAGATCCTAGAGCTGAAACTCTCAGATGCGCATAATCCTTAAAACCTAAGCCCAAAATCTTAAACCAAGAAAGCTGAAACCTTAAACCCATATTCTCAAACCCTAAACCCAAATCTTTTATCCGTTCAGGCCCTGATCCTTAAACCCTGCCAACTCTCATGCCCAAAATACGGGTATCCGAGATCCACACCCAGAGGAAACCTCCCTTCTTCACCAAGATCTGCTGGAGGATGCTTCGAAAGACCTCCGCGTGACAACATGAGGGCACTCCTGTCCTAGCCAAGCCCGAGGTCTTAGGACCTTGACCAGCTAGGTCTAGGATTCAGGATTTGTAAGATTTGGGAACATGAAGACTTTGCATCAGAAGTTCTCAAGGTGAGACCCTGTCAACGAGCAGCTCGACCGAACTGTGCCACATTCAGGTTGCCCGACACCTGTCACGCGTCTTTCAAACAACTTCCACTTGGCCCTGTGCCTGCAAAAGTCGGGTCGCACGACGCATGTCCGGTGCCCTTACCGTAGCCGTCCTTCCCAGAACCTTAACTTCCACCCCAATAAGGCCCAATAGAACTCCCCGAAAATTCCCCCCCAGAACCCTTAAACACTAAGCCCAAAACCCCCCCCCCGAACCCTGAAAGCCCAAAACCGGCCTGGGGTCTCTGGAACTCGCGCTGGAGCGTGCTGCCCAATACCATCTGCGTTGGGCAGCCTAAGACACGAGGCGTCGCGGTGGGTCCGCCCCGACTTTAGTTGATGTAGGGGCCTGAATCCATATTTAGAATAGGGTTTGGGGGTATACCAT